GTGTTAGATCTGCGGCAGTGCTGCCCCGTAGACCCAAACTCAAATGTGTAGATTTACAGAGCCGAGACAGAGTGGAGCCGCTGAAGGTTATCGTGACGGTTCACGTGACACAACGGTTCAGAATCGCCAATGAATGAAAACATCGAGATATTTCTGCTGCCGTCACCGACCTGTGATCGATTGTCTTGTTTTTCTAGCATATGTGTACCGATTACCGACACGGTTTTATCGACTGTGGAGTTTTCAGTACCGGTGACAACCACATAACCGACGGTGAGGCGTGCAGAACGGACCGAAGATGACGGATTACCTTACCGGGCCGGCTCCTCGTGTACTACTGCAGTACTGTGGTTGGAGAAACACTGCAGTCACTGTGGTACACAGCAGTCATGGTGGTTTTTCTTTTCTTTTTGTTTTTCTTTGATTCACTCATCCCCTGATTTCTTCTCCGTCGCTTTTTTCTCCACCCCCCTCCTCTGTCCTCCCTGTCTCTTCTGTGACGTCACGCCCCTCCCTACATCAGCACCGCTGCGCACTCACTCATGAACAAAGTAGACGATTTATTACGCGTACGATATGATGATGTATGAGTGATGAACATCTGGTTCATACATGTTATTATTATTTATTTAGTTTTATTGTTGTTGAAATAAACACATTCGATATAAATTTAAAACATGTTTCTGAGTCAGTGAAAATAACAAGCAAAATACTTGGAAAAAATACTGATATCAACACATACACATGTTTAATTATTACAATAAAATAAGAAAAATATATATAATAATAAAGAGTTGTTTGTCCCTGCCTTCTTCTACATCACTTAGTCACAGTAATTAGTTAGTAGTTTGTCAGAGTCAACGTAAACTCTTGACATATGGCTGTTTTCAAACTGAGAATGAAGCAATAATGGCCATAAATCCTGTGAACTTTGACCTGGAGCTCACCTTCTATAACCTGCGTTAGATAAACGAGAAACTCGTAAAAGAAATTCATCAACTAACTTTACTTTAGATCGACATTTCAGATTGAATATAAAACACACAGAATGATGTATTTTTAGTAGTTTTTAAAGGTTTAGTGGTGAGAAAATTCAACTGAAGCGGCGACTCTAAGTCCCGCCCATGTTTTACCTCCAGGCTCTGTAATAGGCTGCCTTTCCGGCAGCGGCGGAATGTGATTGGACGCTCGTTATTAGTGGGTGTGTGAGGAAGTGGAAAGTGTAACAACTTTACACATTACACAAAGTGTTGGATGTAGACATAGCGACCACTTCACAGCCAGAACTGCGTTTGTTTTCTGGAGCCTGGAGTCAGAAAATGGCGCCGGTGGATCTGACGAAAGTGGGAAAGAACTTGTTAAAAAGCGTTGAAACTGGAAAGGTAGGGTTTGAACCCCAGCTGGAAGCAGTGAATCATAATTGAAAAACAGTTAAATCCTCGTGTTTACTTCAGTCAGTTTTGTCTTTATCTCATTATCTCTCCTAATATCACTCCGCGTGATCAGTTAGACCCACAGGTGTGTGTGTGTGTGTGTGTGTGTGTGTGTGTGTGTGTGTGTGTGTGTGTGCCCCCCGCTGTGACAAAGCTGTTAATATAACTGTTGCGAAACAATGTCTTCGCTGTGACGTAACATTGCTCTGGCGGTGACCACGTGACCTACGTTAGTGTGGTGAATATTCACTTCTGGCTGTTTTAACATCAAGTACTTGGTCCACGTCGAGGCTGAACGTCGCTGCTCAGTGTGTGACAAACGGCCTCTGAATTAGTTTATAATTCAACATATTGTTACCCAGTGAAAAACAAACATCACTAGTTTAAGATCAGAATGTCTAAACTGTTGGATGAACTGTTGGATGAAGTGTTGTATGACGTCAGTCATTTCTGGGCCGTGTTTCAGACTGTGGAGCTTCAGTCTCTGTGGGCAGAGCAGCCTGTCGTCCTGTTCTTCCTGCGCAGGTTTGGCTGTCAGGTGTGTCGGTGGATGGCCTCAGAAATCAGCCGTCTGGAACCAGAGCTGAGAGCCAGCGGCGTGGCACTGGTTGGTGTTGGACCAGAAGAGTTCGGGCTGCAGGAGTTCAGGGACGGTGGATTCTTCAGTGGATGTAAGCAGGTGCAGTGATCAGACAACGTCAGTGACGTCACGGGCCTCGTCGTATTTGTTTATTGTTGTCAAATGTATTCAATTCACTTTCTCTTTCAGCCATTTATGTGGATGAACAAAAGAAAAGCTACAAAGATCTGGGCTTCAAGAGGTCAGTAGGTCAGATGAGTCGGTCGATCAAAGGTCGTTGTGTTGGAAAGTTTTAACAATCGAGCAGGAGAAAACAGTTGAAGATATTTACGGTGTTGTCGTGCAGAACAAAGGTCGATGTTTGAAGAAGAACTGTGTGAATAAACGTCTGTGATGATGTGGTGTTTCAGATACACAGCCCTGACTGTGGTCCCTGCTGCTCTGGGCAAGAAAGTACGTGATGTTAGTGCAAAGGTGCGTGTGTACTCACTGTACTGTAGTACTCTGTACTCACTGTACTGTAGTACTCTGTACTCACTGTACTGTGGTACAGAGTCAGGGTGGTTCTGCTCCCTCCCTCCTTCTTCTTCCTCTTCTCCTCCCTCTCCCCCCTCCAGGCCGGCGCGGCAGGAATCCAGGGGAACTTCTCAGGAGACCTGCTGCAGAGTGGAGGCCTGCTCATCGTAGCCAAAGGTACGGATCATTCCGCAGCGGAGCGGGATAATTAGTAATAAATGTCTTGTAACGAGTGGATGAAAGAAATCGTGAGCAGAACTAATGAGCTCAGGGATTTGTTTGTCCAAAAACAAACAGAGTGATTTTTTCCCCCCATCCATTTAAATATGATTAACAATGAACACGAGTGCAGTTGGACTGTTGCACCGCTAGAGGGCAATGTCGTAGCACTTTAGCGCTCGTCATGTTTTATCAACTCCTGCTGTTTGATCAAATCCAGTTCTTCAGTGACTGTTTAATCGATAACACCGACGTGTTGTTGGTTAAAGGTGGAGAGAAAGTTCTGCTGCACTTCATCCAGGATTCCCCTGGTGACCACGTTCCACTGGAGGACATCTGTAAGGCTGTGGGAATCTCCGCCACAGTACCAGCTGCACAGAGACCAGTGGTAAGAAGTACCAGTGGTAACTGATGATGACGCCATAACAGGAATAACAATCATAACAATAATAACAGTAATAACAATAACAACAGGAATAACAGTAACAACAATAATAACAGTAATAACAATAATAACAGTAATAACAATAATAACAGTAATAACAATAGTAACAGTAATAATAATAACAGTAATAGTGGTGTGTCATACAGACGGTGTGACGTCAGGTTTTCGTTCACTTCTTTTCAAACGACTGTTAAAGTGAGGAAACAGTTGGACTCAGGATTAAGAACGAGGTTTTATTGGTGACTAGTGATAAAACCGTCCGTCCCTTCGTTGAGGAGACGTTAGTGATTGAACAGATTCACTCCCGTCATGAACAATCTGCTGCTGCTAACGCCTCATTAAAGCCACAGCGTTTGGCATCACGAGAAAAATTCACGGTTAAGAAACTATGGAGCAGACGTGTTGATGAGAGTCGGAAGGTGAAGCTGAAACAGCAGCTCTGTAGAAGAGCTGCTGTCAGTCACTGACCGTGGTCCACAGTCAGTCCCTGAAAGAGGTCCACAGTCAGTCACTGCCCGCCGTCCACAGTCAGTCACTGACCGTGGGCCCCAGGCAGTCACTGACCGCCGTCCACAGTCAGTCACTGACCTGATGTCAGTCATGTTGCAGTTTGACGTCAGAAGTCAAACATCTTTTCCTCTTGGCCGACAACTTCACGCCCGTTTGTCCACATTGACGTGGTTTCACACCCCCACTAACTCACCCTGAAGTCTTTCTAACTTGTCGCCCCCCTCAGGAGGGGGCCTTTACTACAGGGGTTAACTGTTCAAAGCACAGGATTGGATTAAAAGTGTGAAGAGCGGCGAGGAAACTGTGTCAGTGATGGACGTGGTTGTTGTTGGAGGTGACGCACAGATCGATTGTTTCAGTCACACTGATCAGGGTCACAGTGAGACCGATGGTCACGACTCTCAGCACATGGTCTGAAACGACCCCCCCGCCCCTCCATGACTACAGTACGTCAGAGCGTCTGACACGACCGATGTACGACTGACTTCCCCATGACCAGTTAGAACATCAACGTACGTCAGTTCACAGAAACAGACGGTCGCACGTCTGACCAATCATATGGTCAGATCTTCTTACTGTCCGTTTGACAAACGCAGCTCAGCTCTGACATCATCACTGACGACAGCTACGGCTGCCAACAACGATGAACGGACGCTCGAGTCACAGTCAGTGTGTGATTTAATCAGTTAATCAGATTCAAAATCAACATTTCTTTTGTCGACAGAAAAACTCAAGGTGCGTCATAGCATAGCTCACACACGCTAACACTACAGATCTGCTCTATGTACGACGGGGGGGCGGGGGGGTTTGACTGTTTAAGAGTTCCAGGAAGTTTCCGGTTGAGTTCACTGTACACACGTAGGTTCCAGTTCATTCTTTGACCTCTGACCCTGGCGTCTTGTCTTCCAGTGTAACGATGACGTTTGTTCTCTCTGACGTCAGCGGCCGAACAAAGAGGTCGGACGAGGAGCAGCTTTTTAATCCAACACTAGAATCACATCCGACCATTTGAAGGATTCAAATGTATCAGTGACAGAACAGTAACTTATTGTCATTTTATTTGTTTAATTTAATTACATAATTTTGAAAATTAAACACAATGATTCCTAATGTTTGACATTTTGATTTGATGTGTCGTCTCCTCCGTCACTGGTTCTGTTCTGCTGGTCCTGGTACTGGTCCTGGTCATATATATATATATATGTGTGTGTGTGTGTGTGTGCATGTACACACACACATGAATATATTTAAATATATATTTAATATTTTAAAAAATCATTAATGTTAGCATTGATTTTATTTTGCATTGGACAAAAAACTGACGACCAAAAAAGAAACTAAAGTAAAAATGTTTTTTTTATGAACACACACACACACACAGAGAGACGCTCCACTGTCACAACTGTCACTTTAATGACAATAATCACTGATCTGAGTCACAAAAATAGCAGTTGAATAAATAATTACAGAGCAGCAGAAACATCACATCAGGAGCTGTTTTTTTCTGGTGAAGCAACAATGAAAGATCTTAAATATTCAGTAGCTAAATAAACCTCTGGATCCACAGATCAGACGAAAACAACGACACGACGCCGTGTTGGTAAATAACAATCGCTCTTCTTTAACCTGACTGTAACATTTATCATGGAACCGCAGCCTCGTGGACAATTACAGACTATAATATATGACATAACCGTTTTAAAACCAGACGAAACACCAGAGTCCAGGCCGTCGTTACGCTGCTGCTTCAACTCTTGAGCGGCAGCTAGTGGTGAAGATAGGAAACGTTGCTTTTCCGTCTGTTGAAGAACATCCTGTCAGCTTTTAAACTTTTTTGCCGACCGTCGGCCGATGTCGTTCTCGTCCTGCTAATACGACAGCGTTTGACAACTACGAAGGCAGACGAGAAGAAGGAAATAAAACTCAAATGCACATTCAACGTAACAGCCTCTGTCGAGACCTAACAGTCGTTTGTAGTTTGGCCCCCCCCCCCCCCCCCCCCCCCACAAAAGAACCTTCAAATTGGCTCTTTTTTCCCCTCCTTTGAACGCTCTGATGAGAACAGACAGAACAGCCGTCCTTTAATGACTTCTTCAGCTTTGATTCTGCTGCCGTACGTTTTTAATAAAGGTAGAAAATAACAGTCGTGGCCGAGGCCTCGCTTTATTTAATGACCAGCTCCATTTTTCACCGAGGCGGCGTGGGCCGCCGGCGTGGACACAGCGGTCGCCGCGCTTCAGCACACACAGCACTTCAGCCTTTCATCATGGACGACAGTCATCAACGAGAGATGACGGGGAGAGGCGCTTCATCTGCTGCCTGTCTGTCTGTGTGTGTGTGTGTGTGTGTGTGTG